CCCCACGCTGAAAGAAGCTTCAACGACAGACTCCAGCACCTGTGGGATAGGTATACCTGACTCTTGTAGCTTGCTACTCTGTGTGTATGTGTGTGTGTGTGTAAGGACCAGCCCCAAGGTTTATGATTTAACTCATTACAGTGTTTCAATCCGCCTAATAAACCAGAATTTTAAGGATCCCGAGTTGGACATTTGTAGCTAACAGTCCCACCAGGGGTAAGGCCTTGCTAGACCTGGGCTTAGCAACAGGGGATGATCTCATGGGTAACCTGCAAGTACACAGTAACCTGGGAGATAGTGACCATCATTTGGCCAAATTCACAATCCAGCAAAGGCTGGGAAAAATAACCAGTGAGACTAAAGTGTTAGACTTCAGAAGGGCCAATTTTAGTAAACTTAGAAGGCTAGTTAGTGAGGTGGCTGAACTCAAGAGCATCAAGCAAATGGGGTCCAGGAGGGTTGGCGGTTTCTCAAGGGAGTGATCCTTAGGGCACAAAAGGAGACTATTCCATTACACAGGAAAGGGGACAAGGGGACAAAAAAGCCCCCTTGGCTGAACAGGAAACTCCAGAAAAGACTGGGGGTAAAGAAAGAGATTTATAGGCAGTAGAAGCGGGAGGCAGCCACCAAGGAGGAACATACCCCCCCTGGCATGTTATGGAAGGGAATCAGTTAGGCAGGCCAAGGCAGGACTGGAGCTTAGGCTGGCTACAACAATCAAGGACAATAAAAAGTCCTTCTACAGATACATAGCAAGCAAAAGGAAGGCGCAGAGTAACATAGTGCCCCTGCAGGACAAATCAGGACAGTTGGTGGCTGACACAGGGAAAAAGGCAGATCTCTTCAATGAGTTCTTTGCTTTGGTATTCCTAAGTACTGGCCAAGACAATTCCCGCAAGTTGAACATAGATAGATGTCCAGGAGGCTCTAGACCACCAATGGTTAGTGCTGACTGAGTTAAGGAGCACTTGGAGGGGCTGGATGGGTACAAGTCAGCTGGCCTGGATGACGTCCATCCATGGGTGCTGAAGGAATTGGCCAGTGTCATAGCTGAGCCGCTGGCACAGCTGTTTGAGCACTCATGGTGCTCCGGTCAGGTCCCAGAGGACTGGAAAAGGGCCAGCATGGTGTCCATTTTTAAGAAGGGGAGAAGGGATGAGCCAGGTAACTTTAGGCCAGTCAGTCTTACCTCTATCCTTGGGAAAACACTGGAAAAAATCATTAAAGAGTGCATTTGTGAAAGCCCAACAGGGGAAAGGAAACCAGCATGGATTCATCACAGGTAGATCCTGCCTGACAAACTTTATAGCCTTTTACAACCAGGTCACACACTGCCTTGACACAGGAGCTGAGGCAGATGTCATCTACCTGGACTTTAAGAAGGCCTTCGATACAGTTTCACATCCTATTCTCATAAGGAAGCTAATGGGCTGTGGAGTGGATGATTACACAGCCAGGTGAGTGGCTAACTGGCTTAGGGACCGCACCCAGAGAGTGGTGGTGGATGGATCATCTTTGGCCTGGAAGGAGGTGGGAAGTGGTGTCCTGCAGGGTTTGGTCCTTGGACCGGTGTTATTTAATATCTTCATCAGCAATTTGGATGGGAGTGTGGAGAGCACCCTGTCCAAGTTCACAGATGACACCAAGTTATGGGGCAAAGTTAACACACTGGAGGGCAGGGAGCGGATACAGGCCAATCTAGATAGGTTGGATCAATGGGCAGAATGAAACAGGATGCAATTCAACAAAGACAAATGCAAGGTACTACACCTAGGGAGGAGGAATCCCCAGCACACCTATAGGTTGGGGGATGACCACCTCAGCAGCTCAGCAGCTGAAAGGGATCTTGGAGTCATAGGTGACTCCAAGACGAACATCAGCCGGCAGTGTAACGAAGCCATCAACAAAGCCAATCGCACCTTATTGTGCATTAGCAGATGCATGACCAACAGATTGAGGGAGGGGATGCTCCCCCTCTATGCGGCACTGGTCCGGCCGCAGTTGGAGTACTGCATCCAGTTTTGGGCACCACACTTCAAGAGGGATGCGGAGAATCTGGAGAGGGCTCAGAGGAGGGCCACTTGTATGATTAGTGACCTCCATGCAAGACCCTACGAGGAGAGGTTGAGGGATCTGGATCTCTTCAGCCTTCACAAGAGATGTCTGAGGGGAGACCTTGTAGCCACCTATAAGTTTATCAAGGGAGGACAACAGAGAATTGGAGAGGTGCTATTTACCAGGGTACCACTAGGAGTAATTAGGAATAATGTGTACAAACTAGTTGAGAGTTGATTTAGGTTAGACATTAGGAAGACATTTTTCACAGTAAGGGTCACCAGAATCTGGAACAGGCTGCCTAGAGAGGTGGTACTATCACTAAACCTGGAGGTTTTCAAGAGGAGGCTAGATAGGCACCTAGCTGGGGTTGTCTGACCTCAGTCCTCTTTTCTGCCTGGGGCAGGCAGTCAGACACGATGATCCTTCGTGGTCCCTTCTGACTCTACAATCTATGAATCGCCAGCTCAGAAGGTGAAATATGTCATGAACAAGTGGCTGGGAGCCAACAGTTCCCGAGGTGCTTGCTAGAGCTTTGATAAAAGGCATTGAAAAGGCCAAACTGGGCTCAGCTATAGAAATAGGGGAACTGAGAGCCTGGGACACTCATCTCCTTCTCTCCCTCCCCAGATCCAATCTCTGTTTCTTATAACTGAGCTGCCCAATTTCTTCTCACTGAAAACAAAAGAACCTGCTATTTATGATCACCACTTCTCTTTCCTTATTTTAACTTGTGTGCTACTGGCACTGTGCCCTGGTTATAGGAAACATCACAAATCCAAGTCACTAGCCTATGAACTAAGTATGAAATGCCTACTTCCAAGACCAGAGTGAAGGTGTGATGTCTGCTGGATCCCATCAGTGGGGTTTGAACCCAGTGCTGCTGAGCCCCAGAAATGTACTGCCCATTGCCCCCACATGAACACCCTCCCTTAACAGTAGGCATTTGCACCCAAACATACAAAAGGGTCATGGAACCTCAGGTGCCTCAGTTCCTGCCACTAAATGCAAGGGTTCCCTCGAAGCAGGGGTCAGGAGACTTGTGAGACATATAAGACTCTCAAAGAATAACTTTTTCCTCTTTGGAGCATTCTCTGCCTAGCCCCATGTGGGGCATTCGGTAGGTATGTGCCCAGCCATGCAAGTCCCAAAAGTGCTGCATTGCCCACTGCTTAAAGCCATGCAGGACTCACAGTGTGGTTGCTCCACCACCTTCTTGACAATCTCATAACCATTCTCAGACTGTGGCTGCCAGGTGAGCCTTACACCAAGCACAAGTTGGAAGAAATGCGATCCCTGATAACTGAGTGATTAGCTCACTTACTGAGGACTTAGAAGCACCAGGTTCAAATCCCTCTATTTCCTTAGCTTGATCTGTTGCAGGGGCTTGAACCCTGCTCATTTCTAGGGCAGCACCTATGCTGCTGAATATGGGGTATTCTGGAATGGTGTGTGTTCCCTTGCTCAATGCCTCCTGTTCCATTTGTGTAAGGGACTCTGAAAGAAGAAAAGAACTGAGGAAGTCTGAAGACATAGTGCTGGGCAGGACTGTTTGCTAGGGGCTTCACTTATGCTTTGGAATTGTGTGGGTCATTGGTTTCCCCAAAGGGATTACCCCATGAGTGGATCTACAGCAAGAGGGGTGTGGCCACATCCCCTCCCTCCACATGTCCTGTGACCTCTTTGAGCTCACCAGCTGTTTGGCATGGGATCTGGAGCTTTCTTATGGCTCTGGAGCCCAGGAGGTGAGTGCAGCTCCTGTTTGCCCTCCTCCCTTTCCCCCACCCCATTTAATTCAGAAGCAAAAGAAAAGAGGAGACTAGTGGCAGTAGTGGTGCTCATCCCCTGGGCTTTGGCTAGAGCCCATGATGATTAGCTGGTGAACTTAGAGACCTCATGGTACATGCAGGGCACAGCCAAAGTGGGGTATGACCAGATTACTGCACCCACCCGGACCTGCCCCTGGGTGACCCTGAATGTGGTCTGGCCAGATGGCAGTCACAGAAGAGGCAGACAACAATGCATTGGACCCAACAAGACACAAAAGCAGGTGAAAAGTCTTACATATGTCAGTGGGACTTCTCAGTTAGATACACAAAGAGATCTTGCTAGATCAAGAGCTCAGTCTTTGCATGTACCTTTCCCAATCCACATGTTAAACATTAGCAGAGACCTACTAACTGTAAAATTGCTGACAGCAGCAGGGACACAGTTTGTAGAGCCAACCAGCAAGGAATGAGACCCACACGTTGTCTGACAACTTTAAAATGTCTCCTCTTTAACTAGAGCTAGCTCCTGCTCTGTGTTTAGCCTGATGTGCAGTGTGACCTTTTTATAGATCAATAGAAAAGAGAATCCACCATTGCTTTCTGACCCCTCATAGTGGAATGTTTCCCTGAATGTAACTATGCTGAGGCTGCACTGACAACTTCGCAATATTGCAGCCTGGTCATATTGAAACCTCATAAAGGCAAGGAGGGGGTTTCTGAAGCCCTGATTGTTCTGTGTTTAGGGAACTGTTGCAGTGTTTGACTAGGGTGGCTTGCAGAAAAAAATCTGTGCAGATTTATAAATCAGGGCTTTTCCACATTCCCAGAGAACGGTCTGTGGCAGGTTCAAGTGGGGGGTGGTGGGGGGCAGCATGGGGGGGCACACACAGGTACCTAAAGATCTGGTGCCTTTTGTGCGAGCTACAGGACAAGGCGTCTTGGGCGAGTCTGTGGGTTAACAGCAGAGAGAAGCGTTGTTATGGGGAACGGGGGGCGGCCACAGGGCAGTGGGGGAGGCAGCCCCAGCACTTACCTGTTGTCAGTCAGGTAGCCGTTCTGGCCTGTCTGCTGGGAGGGGAGAGAAAGGGGAGTCAGTCAGGGGCTGAGGTGCTCCACAGCACCCAGCCCCACTCTGGGGCATCAGGGCACCCCCCACCCCCTTCTGCTCCAGGCATTCAGAGGGGGAGGGGGACGACGACGACGACACCTGCAGCTATTTTCATAGACATTAGGGCTGGAAGGGACCTTGGAAGATCTTCGAGTCCAGCCCCTAATTTTGTGTGGGGGTGGCTGGAGTGGAGAGCAGAACCCAGGAGTCCTGGAGACTCCCCCCCTGGCTCTAACTGCTCATCCATGCCGCCTCTTCCATCTGGGTCTGGTGCTCTGCAGAGGCAGTGGGTCTCACCTCACGGGCGAAGATGCGCTCGCGGACGCGCTGGTACTCCTCTTCGCGCTCCTCGATGGACTTGGTCAATTGGTTACAAGGAGAAGGTTTGGAATAGGGTACAGAGTAGAGCAATATCAGAGAAATCCCTTAGAGCAAACAGTGGCATGGTAGCTTTTGATTATGCATCTGTGTTACTGCAAGCTATAGTATATATCTGGTTAGATCTCAAGTAGCTTACTCACAAGTATCATCCAGAGGCAGGGGAAGATTTCTGGTGGCAAGCAGCTCATTGACCATGAGTTTCAAGAGAGACAGCAAGTTTCAGATGGTTCAGCTCTTCTCTGAGAGTTCTCATCATGGCTGCTGACCCCGTCCTGGGCAGTCCTTAACTTATACAGACCTTATGACCTCATTTACCTGATCCAATGAAGGCCAGCAACTGTTGGCTGCTAGCCAACCACTTTGAAATGCTCACTGGCTGCCAGGTAGATTGGCAGAGTCTCTAGCTCTCTCCCAGTCATGAAGACATTGCTTAGAACAATAGGGAGTTTAAGCCCCCACCCAGGTGTGTGAGGCCAGCCATGTAGGCAGAGGGAACAGGTTTCCCCCTCCCTCAGGAATGTATCCAGCTCAGGTTACAACTCAGGGTTACCTGAAGCCGATGGGGCCAGGGGTGTCTGCCCTCTGCAGTGACCATGGTAACCAAATTGTCAGATTGGTCATCCGCCTGATTGCAGAGTTTGGGGTGAGACAGAGATGGCATTCTGCCACACAATCTACTGGAATTGCCATTAAAATCTGAACATTTACATTGCTGTGACAGCCAAGATAGGGCACATGCTCCCAGCTCCTGTGGCATCATGGGTAGCATGCCCCCCCCAGAACCTGCTGGAAAAGAGTAACCTTCCAGAGGTGCATGAGCTGGAACTAGAACATCGCAAGGATCCTTCCTTGGCCTAGTGCCATTCTGAAACAAGCAAAAGAAAAAAAAATCATCTGACATGCTGAGCTGAACTAAAATCATTGGATTAGTTGCATATTTTCACCAAAAGCCTGCTGGGCAGAGGGACAGGAAAGAGGGACTGTGGCTTGTTGACAGTCATCAGGGAGCTACACAGTGTGATTTAGCTGTGGCTGTCAAAGTCTGGAGGTCCTTGCATACCCCCAGGTTGGCTGGTTCACAAAGCCAGCTGGTTGACCTGCTCTCCAAAGCCTAAAGGAAACCCTGCTCCTGCTTCCATAGGGTTGTGGCACTTCACCAAGAAAGCTGGGAGTACAAGAATGCTCTCAGCTCTAGGGATGCTCTTGAACTGCTTGAAAAGGCAGGTTTTTGTTGAAAAAAGCCAGTTTACCAAAAACCAGAACAGTCTGCAGAAGCTTCATGGTTAAAACAAACTCTTGACAACACACAGGCAGGGGCCAATAGACACTTGCTGTGGTGAAGGGTCTGTGGGTCCAAGGCAGTCCCACCCCACCCCCTCCCATGGGACACAGGGCATACAGGTTTCCTGCTGCAGGGGAAGGTGCCCCAGCTCTTGCTAGGTACTCAAAGCCTGGGTTTCTTCCTCCCAGGGAGCTGGGAGACCCAGCAAGCTGTGGCTCCAAGGTCCCCACCTCTTAGCTGGCTCTTCCTGTCTGTGAACACCTTCAACTCTCTTGTGAAATATGAACTTTCATTTCTACCCAGGAGAACTTTTATAATCTTTTCTCTTATGCCCAAAGAAGGGTGCTTGTGCCCAAAAGTGTGCAATTAAAGAATTTTTTTTTGCAAAAATCTAGTTGGTCTAATAAAAGATATCACCTCTACCACAAGTTACAAACTGCTTAGATGCAGGAGTCATTGTGGATGTCATATACTTGGATTTTAAAAAAGCCTTTGATATGGTATCACATCCCATTCTCATAAAAAAACTGAGCTGCTGTGACTTAGATAATTACACAGTCAGGGGGGTGGCAAAATGGCTAATGGGATACACTCAGAGGGTGGTGGTGAATGGGTTGCTATTGACCTGGAAAGATGTGGGCAGTGGTGTCCCCCAAGGCTCAGTCCTCAGGCCAGTGCTAGTCAACATCTTCATCAGTGATTTGAACAAGGCATGGTGAGCACTATTCAAATTCATGGATGACACTAAATTGTGGGGCAAAGTAGACAAGCTGGAGGGCAGGGAACAGATTCAGGTGGAGTTGGACAGGCTGGAAAAGTGGGCAGAACAAAATAGGATGCAGTTTAATAAGGATAAGTGTAGAGTACTGCACCTAGGGAGAAGAAATCACCAGCACACATACAGATTGGGAGATGACTTTCTAAGCAGCACAGAAGCAGGAAAGGATCTCAGTCATAGTTGACTCAAAGATGAACATGAGTCGACAATGTGACGAAATGATCAATGGAGCTAACCACACTCTATCATGCATTAACAGATGCATCACAAACAAGTCTAAGGAGGTGATACTTCCTCTCTATGTGGCACTTGCAAGGCTGCAGCTGGAGTACTGCATTCAGTTTTGGGTGCCACACTTCAAGAGAGACGTGGATAACCTTGAGAGGGTCTAGCGGAGGGTCTCTTGTATACTTAGGGGACTGCATGAGGTCCTATAAGGAAAGGTTGAGGGACCTGGATCTCTTCAAACTCCGTAAAAGGCTGAGAGGGGATCTGGTGGCCGTCTACAAATTTGTCAAGGGGGGTGCAGCAAGAAACAGGAGATACTCTGTTTACCTAGGTGCCCCTTGGAGTAACTAGAAACAATGGCCACAAACTGAGAGAGAGCATATTTAGACTAGACATAAGGAAGAATTTCTTTACGGTAAGGGTTACCAGAATCTGGAATGGGCTTCCAAGGGAGGTAGTGCTCTCCCCTACCTTGGAAATCTTGAAGAGACTGGATATACACCTGGCTGGGGTCTTCTAACCCCAGCACTCGTGCTGATTGCATTTTCCTCTACTTTGTTGCATCGTGAAATTAACTGCTAGAAGTGTTTTGCAAATGTGATGAGCTAGAAGAGGCCTTTCCCACTGGGCACAGAAGTAGAGCTGGAAGAAAGCTTAGCAAATAAGGAACTTCATCCAAAACCAAGTGATTTCTGGGGCTGAGTTTGTTGACTAACCCAGAAAGGAAACAAAAAATTGAAAATGTGAATTTTAACTTTTAAAAAATATAATGTTGTGACTTATTTCAGAACGTCTGTTTGGGATTTGATACAACTGCACATAAAAATATGTCAACTGAAATGACACAGAAAAGTTTGGGTCCAATAAAACATCCCAGTTGGTCAGAAATACATTTGTTATTTATTTGGGCAAAGGAAAAAAAATCTTGGAAAAAAATGTAGTTTGGGGTTGACCAGAACTGAACTTTCAGGTGCAGCTTCTGAACAGCAAATTTTCTGATGATTTGCACAGCTTCCTATAGAACAGTCCTGTTTTCTTTAAATATAGTTGACAATTGGTCCCTGTTACTGTTGGGTGCTTCCTCAGCTTCTTGTAGACAGGTAAAGCTGTTCATACAGCAAAAATAGCTTCCTCCCAGCTTTCCAATTATACTATGCTGTTGAGCCAAAAGCTGTATAAAGTTTGCAGCTGGCTCTGAGCTGCAGTGCCTAACACTAGCCCTGAGACAGCTGCCAACTGAACTTAAAGAAAACATAGTTACATAGGACTGGAAGGAACCTCTTGGACTGAGTTTAGGGCCCTGCTGGCAAGTCACATAATTCCTTTTATAACCTAAGTGAGCTACAACTTGAAACAAGGCAGGGGTACCAGCCCAGACTGCTTCAACTGGGAGGCTGCTCTGATTAAAAACCATCTTTTCTTTGTTAGGTAGCCAGACAGCGTGTATAATTCCAGGGGACATCTCATCAGGGTCCTGTACAATGGCACTGATGTTGCTCCCTTGGCTGGAAATACTTTTCTGGGTGCATTCTAGTATCACATCTTTCATAGCTGCATCATGCTAGTGTCTCACACTCATCTGATACCCTGGGATCCTCCTCAGCTATTTCCAACTGATGAGCTCCCACTTATAGCTGAAATGCCTCCTAACTCTGCCTCACCAATAAATTTCATTAGCACATTAGTATACCCTAGACATTAAATCAAGATCCTGAATAAGATCGGACTCAAGATTGATACTGATGGAGTCCCTCATAGAATGTTCTCCCATGTCCAGCTTGCAGCTATAAGGGGCTGCCTGATTTTCCAGCGAAGTGATGATTTTGTAATTGCACGCGCACACACAGGCCCAAGATTTCTGTGCAACCCTCTTTAGGGTGCTGATGATATAATTCAGAGAAGGTGTCAGCTCAGGCCCACAGTAGGGGAGCTGCTCTGAGAAAGAACTGTGAACAGTTCTTGCAGAGCTACCAAAGAGGCACAGTTCTTTGTAGAGCCATATGCATACATGGGATTTCATGGTGTTTGTGCAGGGAGCAACCGTGTGTGTGCACATGCATGTGTGTGCACATGTGCACAAGCGATTGATTTGCTGTCAGTGTAAAGTGTCATCAGGAGCTGTAACACAGCAGTCCCTACTTTTTACTATTTCCCAATTTGGCAAGCTTTCCAAAATACCAGGGAAAATATATGGAGATCAGTTTTACCTATCTGTCCTATTGAGAGGTGCAATTCCATAGTAGATGATATAATTGTGCCTCTCACATTATAAACCCCAGGGCCCTATTCAAGCAGGTTTTAAGCATCAGAAATGTTTCAAAACTATACTAGCATTTACTCCATTTAATAATAAAAAGAACAGCATGAGAAACATCATTTTAATATTGACATATATACATAGGAAAATCCTCCAGGAAAGGGAAAAAACTCTGATACAAAAATAGCAATAACAGAAGAAATAAAATAGACCAAAATAGACAGGCTGTCATTTATTAAAATATAATCTCATCTCTCTTTCTATATATAGATTGCTATAGATAACGCTTTATACAAGTTCAAAGAGTTCATGGTTCTGTGGCCACCAGTTAGACCATATTTGAACAGCATATTTTCCTATAATGCTCATTCTGTAACACACAAATATACCAAGTGAAATCTTTGCTGTGCATTTTGAGCCACAGAACAGCTCAGTTCTCCAATTTTCAGAGTCCAAGAACCCAGTTCTTGTTTCACAGCAGAACTTCAGAATCCTCAAATGAATCATCTGCATACAACAACGTGTCTCCTAGCAGGCTGCTCAAGGGCTGTGTGTCTGCCTCAGGCCAAGAAGTTCCATTTGGAGAAACATCATGCTGCAGCAAAGGAGTGTTCACCTGCTCCACCCTCCTGGCACCAGCCACTGGGTTTTCAGCAATCCGTTCTAAAATATACCTTTCCTCCTGCTGCTCACTTTCATGGACATCAACCTTGACAATGGCTGCATGCAATTCTTGGGAGCAGGACTCAATGATATCATTGGGATTGAGATCTGTGTCTATCTCAGGGAATCCTGAATCTTTTGTCAACTCTTCCTCCTCCTCTTCCTCTAGCAGGCTTGTGTTGATGTAAATGACATCTTCAGACCCCTTCACCTCAGGCAAGCTTTCCAGCAGCTTCTCTAGCTGGATTTTTAACTGTGAGAATGTAGGTCGGTCCACAGGATCTGCTTTCCAGCAGGAGTACATTATCTTATACCTGCAAGCACAAGGAAGTTGTTACAAATGACTAGCTCCTCAGGAGACTGAACTGTTAGCTCAGTAGTGCTGAGTTACACCATGCATGCAGATAGAAGAACATTATTTAGAACAAAAGAGATGGACCCAAGAGGATATATAACTATTGGAATGTGCATTAATTTGCTAGAGACACATAAAGTTTTAAAAAACACAACAAACTAGGCAAAAAATAGTCACACAATATTGTGTCACTAGTCCTGTAGTCATTATAGTTAAATGTATATCTCAGATTCATAAAACAAAATTTAGCCTTCTTTAGCATCTTGACAGTGCCTCCAATACTTCACTGTCAAGTCATTTCTACACCTGAGCTAATATTACCACACCTGAGTTCAGGGGCAGAGCCAAGATTTGGCACAGAGAGGTACAGAAGCAGCCACCTGTGCTGCAGGAATGGTTTCACCCCACTTCCAGCAGTGTGGGTAGACTGTGCCACTGGAGCCTCAGGGGACTTTTTTAGTCTCCAAATTAGGTGATTGCTCCTTTCCTCCATGCCCAGAGGCACATCCCCTTCCCCTCTCCCCAGCCTGCCTACTGCTACTGCTTTCCCCATGGTCCTGGGGAAAGGGAGGAGACAGGACCTGCCTCTGAGCACAGGGGGGAAGGAGAGGGATTCTTACATGTCTTGGGGACTTTGAAAAGCCCCCAAAGATTCCCTTAGTGTGATCCAATCTAAAAGGCAGTGCAGCTACACCACTGCACCCCTCCCCTGAATCTGTCCCACTATCAGCTTAAAAACATTGAATCACTGGATATGCAATATAATTTGCCAGCCAAGAGGGTGAACCAACTTCTGACTATTTGCTTTGGGGAAAAGCATTTAAAATAGTAAACCCACAACTTCAGAGCTGGAATAAGAGTCATGACAATGGTAATTGGGCAGGACTCCCACTGAGAAAGTCAGGCTTTCCATGCAGTTCCTTTGCCAAACAATTGTTACAGCTGCGCTGATGGAGGGGTGGGTGTGGGGGGAGTGGAAAGGGAGCTCTATGACCTGTTCCCATGTTAAATCCAAATGAGCTGCACACAGAGCACTGGGGAGAACGTGCTCAAGAAATATGTCCTGCTCAACTCACAGGTGTGCCACTCTTTTCACAGAGCAGGTAGAAAAAAAATTACCCGAAAAGTTTAGTGAAGGCAAGAGGCAGAAACTTTTGCCAACGGAATCTTTGCTTAGAGCTCTTGGCGACTATCTTTGAGTAGGTCCCTTTTTAGCAGGGTTGTAATGTAACTTCCAGTGGCTTGTTTGTTTAAATGATTTCCTGCTCCTTACCACTGGGGGTTTTTTAAATATTTTCAGCTGTAATTACAAACAACAAACCCTTGCAGACAAAGGCGGCTTAGCCAACTTTTAATACAAACCCTCTGTGATCTGTCCAGAAACATAGAACTCCTATTGCTCTCTGTAATGTAACAACATCTCTTTCCTCACAGATTTATAGATATTATGGGTAGGAGGGTCCACTATAATTACCTCTGTTGACCTCTCACAGTGCACCACCAGGAGCCAGACACCAGCACTCGAAGAACCCTGCACCCTACCCATAAGTCTGGTGGAGCCAAAGCACATCTTTTGGAAGCCATAGGCAATCTGGAGAGAATCCCAGCTAGCCCAGGCCTATGGTTAATTAGCTTTAATGTTAAAAAACTGAACTTCATTCCCCATTTGAACTCTCCTGACTTCAACTTCCAGCCATTGTGCTTGGCTCTCCCTTTGTTTGACAGATCAAAGAGTCAATCTTGTCTACACAGCTGTACTTATATCCTGTGATCATGTCTCTCTTCACTCAGGTGAAAGGGCTGAATTGCTGCTCCTGAACACCCTTCCCACTCCTTGCACTTCCCTGCACTAAGTCCTGTGTGGTGGCCCAGGAACTCTCAACAAACCTGGGGCAGAGGAGACAGTGGGTTAGCACCTCAACCGCTTTCAAACCTGGCCTTGTGTCCCTGATGCAGTGAAGAGCCAGCTGTGCTGGAAGAGCAGAGACCCTAGCAGGTCCTGGGAGATCAGTGGGAGGCTGGGGATGTCTCTGTACTGCCCCTGTGCCTCCACTGGGGCTCTGATGGCCAGCCATCCTAATGACAAGGCTCTCTGTTGAGATAGCAAAATCAGATTAGGGCCTGATCCTGCAAGTTTTTGCATACACTAATCCCACCAGCTCCGATGGGCCTACTCAGGGGAATAACAGAACTACCACGAAGGAGCTTGCAGGGTCAGGTCATCAGCCCGCTGCAGCTTTGCTTTGCAATCAGTGCCTGGGCAAATTCACTGTCAAAACCTCACACATACATAAGGGAATATTTTTATGTTTGGAGCAGGTTGCTTTCTGAGGTATTTTATAGCACCCCCAGGAAAGCAGTAGTGGTTCTCTTATCTTGTAAAAACCAGCAATCAAAATTGGGGGACCATCTGTGGATAGCAGAATCCTTCTCTCTCTGTAGCACAGGTTCAAATTCTGACTAAAGAGAAAAGGTGGCAATCCTCTTACTCACACTAGTCCACACCCACTGAGCAGGACTCTGCTCCAGAGCCTAGGAAATCAGGCTGCTGCTGATCAGATCTGATGGGGACCTACCTGTAGAAGAAGGCCAGCACATCTCATGTGACTTATAAAACCTGCAGCTACCCCTGTGCTGAGCCTAATATCCTTTGTTTGACTGAACCACATCTTCTGGAAAGGCACCCAGTCTTGATTTGAAGACACCAAGAGATGGAAAATACAGCACTCCTCTTGGTAGTTAGAACCAGTGGTTAATCACCCTCTATTAAAAATGAGTGCCTTCTGCATTCTACACTGTCAGTGAGATCCTGAGAACCTGGTCCTTTTGCTCACTGAAGAAACCCCAGATAACTAATTAGGTCACTTCTCAGTCTTCTGTTTCATACTGCAGACCGTTTGAGTCTGTAAGTAATTTTTCTATTCCTGAGATCATTTTTGTGGATCTTCTCTGTTAAAAGGCAATGAATCCTCACCAATACTTCACTGAAACTTAGGAAAAAGACTTTGCATTGATCTAAGGAGGATGCTGGTAGAAGAGTGTTCAAAGCAAAGGTGAAAACACAGCAGATCTGGAAGATCCTACAAAGTAGTGTGCCACATCAATGAAACAGCTGAGTGGCTCTTACCAGCTAATTAGTAACCTGGGCTCTCTTCTGAAAAGAGATCTGCATGTGCTTTATATGTCCTACTGAAAAAATTATTGCAAGCTGACTGGTCTATTTGTATTTCCTTTAAACAGCATGTTGTGCAGCATAATGGTGAAGGTTTGATGCTGGACACCTATAGAATCCCAAGCTTGCACACAAATACAATGAAGCCCATAACATCTAGGGGACAGAAGCCTACTCTTTGGTCCTACCAAGCTGCCTAGAGCCAACGGACTACTAATAACATTGTTCTGACCAGTGTCAGTGAAAATACATAGGCTTCTCTTATTATCTCAACCCAACAGCTCCTTTGGAACCAAAACAATGTGTTTGACTCCTTGGGTCAACCTCTATCAGGACGAGTTAAGCACATAAGACGATGAGACTAGCTTAGCCCTTTCTTATCTGTACCTCCATTGAAACTAAAAGGATTTTTCATATTAAAAACCAGCCAGTCACCCCATGCTTATGTATATTCTGGAGATATCTTGATCTGCAGAAGCAGGTGCAGCTCCTTTTCCAATTCTAGGGAGGTGCTGCAGGTGGCAGTTGCACAGGTCTGGAGTGCTTTTCAGCAAAGACAGCAATATTGTTTAGGCAGTGATCCTCAGCCTTTTGGCCCTAAAGGCCAAATGAGTGGTGCAGGGCCAGTCCGCAGGATGGATCAGGCCCTGGAGCTAGGCACCACCCCCTCCCTACCCCACACACTGGGATTGGGCCCTCGGAACTGGTGCTGCCCACTCCGGCTCCCCATATGCCAGGATTGGCAGAAACCTGGCACCACCCCCTCCTAGCGCCCCCACACTGAGATTGGGCCCTTGGACCCAGCACCATCCCTGCCCAGTCCTGTGTGGTGAGATTGAGACTAGCCTGTGGGATAGGAGTTGCGCACCCCAGGTTTAAGTAAAGAAAACAGTTTAAGGACCACTATAACTGTTTTTTAATTTGGATTGTTTAAAAAATTAGTTCCAGCCAAAAAATTTAAAAATACTTCACAAAAAGTCTTAATTATTTGACTTTTTCTTTTAAAATGATCATTTAATCTGAAAATGTTTTAAATTTTTAGTAGAGGGTGAGTGGTTTCGTAGCCACAATGGACCAGAAAATATAAGAGAAGCATGGGTTTTTTGGTGATATTTTTTATTGGAACAACAGCATAGTTGGGAGATGTTACACACATTTTAGAGCACCTGAAGAGAGGTACTTGGTGCCCAAAAGCTTGTTTAAAATCTCTCCCAAATATATAGTTAGTTCAATAAAAGATATCACCAAGAAAACTTTGCTTCACACTAAATTCCTTTTAATATTGAAGAAATAAAAAGGGGTTTAACAATCTAAAAATGCAACTGATTGTTGTTTTGGATAAAACTAGGGGTTCACCGATAGAGGTCTTAGGGGCTGATACCGATAGCCGATTTTTAAGAAGGCATATTGACTAATACCAATCCAATTTCTGATACAGCTTCGTGCAACTGATAAGTCTGTCATGGTGGAAGGGGAGAGGGGAGGGAAGGAGTGTGTGGGGGCAGATCAATGCTCCCCATGGTGAGGAAGAGGGCAGGGACAGGGGCAGGCACTGCCCAGCCAGGGAGGGGCAGGATGTGGGATGAAGCCATGGCTTGTTGGGGGAAGGGGGCAGCTCCCGCTGCTGCATACACCCTGGGAGGGCACAGGGGGAGGGGGAGCATGTGCCCTTGGATCTGTGTGGGGTGGGGCAAGTGGGCTGCAGCTGCAGCTGCAGGCTGAAGCTGAGGCTGCACTGGGCTCTTCTTAGCAGGGGCTGGGCTCGGGGCGGGGGCTACAGAAGGGGCTGCAGCCACCCCAAATTTTGCCATAGCCCCACTCCCAGCACTGCCACCACCACCTGCCTCGTGCACCCCAGCTCTTCCCTGCTCAATGCCCTGCCTCCACCCATGCACTGGGAAGACCCAGGGCTGCACCAGGCAGGTGGCGGTGCTGGGAGCAGGGCTATGGTGAAATTTGGGGTGGCTGCAGCTCCCTCCATATCTCCCGCCTCAAGCCCAGCCCCCACCAAGAAGAGCTTGGCTGCAGCCCGCCCACCCCACCTCACGCAGATCTGGGGGCACATGACCCCCTCCCCTCCCCAAATGCCCTCCCAGGGTGCGCACAGCAACGGAAGCCACCCATCCGACGAGCCACAACTCCATCCTGCACCCCACCCCACCCCACCCCAGCTGGGCAGCATCTGCCCCTCCCTCACCGCGGGGTCATTGATCTGCCTCCACCTCTTGCCCCTCCCCTCTCCTTCCACCACAAAGGACTTACCAGCTGGAGGCAGCTCTCCATGCTGCTGTGCTCTGTTCCTTGCTGCCTACATGCTGTACTGTGGCTGCACACACGCACAAACATTTATTGGCCAAATTATCGGCTGCATCGGGTCGATTTCTCATACAGCCAGTTTTCTTTATATCGGTACTGATCCGATATCAGACCAATGTATTGGTGCACCTCCAGATAAAACAGAACCATTTTTCCCCTGATTTTGGTTTTACCGGTAAATTAAAGGGATTGTTAGAGTCATGCTACTGATATGACAATTTTTTAAGACCACCTGTATTCTAAAAGTACATCTGAATTAACTGCACTTCTGTAAAACTACTCCAAAGTAGTTTCAAGCTGCTTCAATGGCTACTTGCTTGCCATTTATAAAATTCAAATAGAAACAATGTCTTTAGTTTCTGGTAGACCTGGGAACCCCTAAAGAATAGGGCTGGCCCTCCACTGGTGTAAATCAGCAAAGCTCCACTGACACCAGTGGATTTTCGGCAGCTGAGAATCTAGCCCCAGACATTCTTTTCACAATTCTCAAAAGAAAAAACTAATTCATATAATTTGTATCAATCAGCCATCAGCCAGCATTTTCTTCCCCCAAACTTCAGCCAAACTCAGGGCTCAGCTGCAAATGCATGATAGGGGTTAGCTGCTGTGTTCACAAAAAAACACTTAGTTACCAAGAACCACATAAATATGAGAACAGTGTGATGAATAATATGCAGCAAGAACTATGCAGCAAATAAGGTCAAACACAAACACTACATGAATTATTTAAACAGCCATGACTGACAAGGACAAGCATGTTAGTGTGCAATGCAGTTGTCCACATGCCATGCTTAAAAACCCAAGGGATGCACACAAGCACTCACATCTCATCTAAGCAACCTTCTGGCTGTTTCAACCTGTGACCATGAAAAAGGTAGTCATAGATTTCATGGTTCTGCACTCCTGGGTAGGGAGTCATTCCACGGGTTGCTATCTCCCACATTGTGACACCAAACGCCCACTGAAAAGAGCAAAGAAAAAAAGCATGTTAAGCTGACATTTCCAGAAGGAATGAATGAATCGTTTCATTAGGAAAGGTCATTTCCTAAAGTCCATCAGGATCTTGTACAATGTTGTTAGCTATATCCACAGTAGCATGGTCTTCGTTGGAAACAACATGGAACGTCAGATAATAGCTCAGAGCCCACTGAATAAATCTTTTTTCCAGGACATTATATAGGCAGGGGAAGAGCAATGCACTACTCAAAAATATTGCTTGTGATGACTGTTAGGAACTGTCATAATTTTTTCTCTTATTTGGCTTTCATATTTACAAAAAATGAACAGAAACGCACCCACACACACACAAACCCTCACGCACTGTTAATAACATAGGTTCTAAAAATGCAGAATATTAAAATATCCTTATTGACCAGCACCATTGGCTGCATTACTGAAGACTGGATTTCTAATGGTGGGGTGGTGGAGGTCAGTGCCCTGTTTACATACCACGTCACTCTTGGTTGTGTACACCCGATCTGCAAGGCTCTCTATTGCAATCCATTTTACAGGCATTTTTGCAATACGCCCCTGACGGTAATAATCTCCACTATAAATCTTCTTCGATAAACCAAAATCTGCTACGCACACAGTCATGTCGTTCCGTAACCTGTCAGCATTAGAAAGAAAATAATAACATAAATGCTTATACAGGCAATGTTTATTTATTCCCAGGTATAATGTTACCTGTACACATACTGGCTACTGGAACCAGGGCCCTTCAAGCACCTCCCAACTGTTTTGACTAGGGTGAATGGGCATTTCAAATGAGAGAGGTAGAAGTGATATTTTACGTTCTCTTTTCCCCCCATTTCTATTGCAGTTTGGGTGGAAGTCTATTTCCTTTTCATTATCTAAGAGACATTTTTGCATGTAGGTACCCATTCTATTCCCAGATGACTTATCCTGCACATGTAGATAACTGTGTACATGTGCATCTGGATACAAGTCCCAGAAACAAAATAATGGAGGGGGAGGGCACTCCTCAATTTTAGCCCCAACAGTGGTTGAGTCCAAAGCTCCTCTGTGGAGTGGTTATGGCAATCTTGTGGGAAGCTGGAAACCCCAGATTCTAGACCTCACCAGGGCTCAAATTACATTTGGACTGCAGCGGGGGGAAGAGGGGGTCTATGGTGGTGGCAGCTGGAAGGAGCTGCCGCCACCACCTGAGCTACTTAGGAAGGCACAGGGTAGGCTGGGGGCTCTTGTCTCTTATGGTGGGGCTTATGAAGGCACTCTGGTCTCTTACAGAGGGGCTCAGCCCCCATGAGCCCCCCCTGGATTTCAAACCCTGGACCTAATCCAGGAGGAGCTTTGAACATGTATTTCTGACTTCCCAACAGTGCTCCATCTACCATGTCACAGGCTAGACAATATCCTCTCCAGCACTTCTGAAACTGAGCCACTTCCCCTTGAATTTACTAATTATTGGAAAAGATGGCTGGAGGACAGGGCTAGGGCAAGGACTCTATGTCACTAGGAACAAGGCTCAAGGCTAAAATCCAGGACATGCTCTTCTAGGACAGCAGCTATCTCATTGAGCCGCATACCCTCTGGCTTAGTCTCTTCCTCCTGGCCTCACATATTCTTCTTTTGTGGCTGCCCAGGGGGACAACTTGGAATGGACTTTCAGAGAAGGGGCATGAAAATGCCTCACCTGCGGGGTAGTAGTATGCTGAGGAAGGTTTATTTTCACTCCAACAGAGATTTTTCAGGCTAGGGTCTAGCTACCCATAGTGAGACAGAGAAAACCAAACTTACATGCAGTTTCGAGCAGCTAAATCTCTGTGAAGAAAATGCTTGCTACTCAGGTACTCCATTCCTAGTGCAATATCAACCATAAATTTCAGCAAAGTCTGCAGTGGTACATACTGGGAAGAGAAGAAGGGGATTAACACATGTAAGCAGTATGTAAGGGAGGCAACATTACAGGGTCCAGGCATTACACCCTCATCTCCCATTTAAATCAGTAAGAGGAAGGCAATTTAAAATGTTGGAAAAAGTACTCAGTGGTACACAGGATTTGGCCCTGAATAGGAATGATACACTCCCCATTTCTAGAGGGAGAAAGGGAAGCCCATTTTCCATGTCCACACAGTGGACAATGGACAAGGCTCTCTGATTACTGCAGAAGTTCATGGTACAACACCAATTAGCTTTCCCTTGGTTTACAGAACATGCAAACCTATCCAGAGAAGGAAGGCTGAAATACCTCACTGGTACTGACAACAAGGAGTCAAATGAAACAATGTAACAGGAACAACACAAACAACTCTGCTACACTGTGTGGCACTTAACACTGCTAAATACAAGCAGATCTAGACAGGCTGGCATGTTGGGCAGAACGGAACCAGATGAGGTTCAACGTAGAGAAACACAAAGTGCTGCATCTGGGAAGGAAGAACCCCCAGCACGCCTACAGGCTGGGCATTGCTAACGTGACCAGCACTACAAATGAAAGGGATCTAGGGGTAACAATAGACCCCAGCATGAATATGAGCCACCAATGTGATGCAGTAGTTGCTAGGGACAATGAAAATCTGGCATGCATCAATTGATGTATCTCCAGTAAATCTAAATAAGTGATTCTCCTGCTTTACTCAACATTGGTGCGGCCACAGCTGGAGTACTGCATCCAGTTCTAGGCGCCACACTTCAACAAGGACATGCTAAAGCTTGAGAGGGTCCAGAGAAGGGTCACCCTCGAGAGGGTCCAGATATGGCCATTGCATGTCAAGCCATATGAGGAAAGGCTGAGGGAGCTCAGGCTTTTCAGCCTAAAGAAAAGGCTGAGAGGGGACCTGATTGCAGCTTACCGCTACATCAGAAGTGTACATCAGGGGCTCTGTGAACAACTGTTCACCAGGGCACCCTGGCGGAAAACTAGAAACAACAGCCACAAACTCCTGGAAGATAGTTTCGGGCTGAACATTAGGGAAAAGTTCTTTACAACTTGGGTGTCCAAACTATGGAACAAGCTCCCCCCAGAGGTGGTGCAATCATCTACCCTAGAGGTCTTCAAGAGAAGACTGGATGGTCACCTGGCTGGGGTTGTCTGACCCCAGATGTCTTTCTTGCTCATACAGGGGGCTGGACCGGATGATCCTTCAGGGTCCCTTCCAGCCCTATGATTCCATGCTCCACAGAGGAGCTTTAGGCAGCTAAGGACAGTATTTGTTTAGTCAGACATGTAGGAAAAGTATCTGAGCCAAACCCACTGTCTTAGAAATACTGAAAAGAACTATCTGCCATGCTATAACATTTCCGAATCCAGTCTAACCTCATTATAGGTTATTCCAGTCTGGCCTAATGAGTGAAAACAGCAACCAATCCTAGTACTACAATGTGACCTTGGAGGCAATGGGTCTCTGAGCACTGCCTGAAGTCTATATTAACAGAGTTGGAGGGAAATTGGCTGGCCATGTTCTACTGCTCTTAGGGCTTTATGCACTCATTTAGGCCAACGGCAAAACTGCTGCAGAGTCAAGGCCTTCGTGCTTGATGGAAGGCCTAGCACTGCAATAGCAGGTTGTTTCTTCCTTCATGCCTCCTCCTCTTGTCCATAAGCGTGCAAGGGTGGGTCCAGGGGCATGTGGCTGTACCTCCCTTTGGCTGTGCAGTGCATGCATTGAGTGAGGCTCTAGAACCCTGGGGTTAACACTGCAGCCACTTGCCCCTCAACCCCTTGCCCATTGGCAAATTTAGCAGCAGGGGAAAAGAGGTGGGCAGGGAGCAGCAGGAGCATTCACCCCTAGGGTTCTGGAGTCACACCGATAAGCTCAGAGAGTTCATTGCTCATGCTCCACTCAGCCAACGGGAGGTGTGGTCACACCCCCAGCCCTCCCTCTTGGTTCTGCCCATGTAAGTATGCAGTTAGATTTCACTTTTCCTATCAACTTTCCTCAAACCTCTGAGGTTCAAACACGATGCCTACCACGTCATGTGGCCCCTGCAGACTTTTGATTCTCAGCTGTGTAAGCAGATAATAAAATTATTTTGTCATCTTTGTGTGTAGGCCCCCAGATGTGAACTCAGTGGCAAAACTCCCAGTGATTTCCATGGAACCAGAATTTCATCCCAGGTGTCTTACAGAGGCAGGAAGCGCTATTACAATAAGCGTCTTTTTATTCTTTAGGAAAATAAAGCCAGGGTTCTCTTAGCATTCTCAGAGGAAGAGTAAAGTATCTTGCTCTGAGTAGCTGGTTTAGTGCAGAATACAATCTGTTGTCCCATTGTCCCCATGTAGCCCTGTGTGCTTAGCATTTTGGTTCTTCCCCGTTGCTCAGTTTGTTAATCACAGTCAGTTACCTGAGGACCTGTTTCAAGCCTTGAGCGAAGCAGGAAGCTGTGCAGGTCCCCATATTGCATGAATGGGAGAATAACCATGGGCTTGGGGACCTGGTGAGAGCTCAGCTCTATACAGACACCTGGAAAAAGAACAAGAGTCAGTGTCACACCTCTGGCAGGTGTGGGTTAATAGTAAAATGCTTTGGAGGCCCTTAACAGATCTGTGCATGCATGAGCTGCAGCCCTTGTGGCTAATGCCAGAGATCTGCTAGCTGAACCCCTCTTATGCATATAGATGAAACTATCAGCAGGGCAAATCTTGTATTTACCTTCCACAGCAACATGAAGCCCAAAATCCATGTGGCTCTGCTGCATGTGGAGGAGATGGGTAATAGGGAGCCTGGGACTGTGGATGCAACCCTGTACATCCAAAAGCTGTGCTCAAGGAGGACCCCATGACTATACAGTCACATTGGTCACATCCAAGTGCTGCCTGACTGGGTCTGACTAATGCAGAAAGCTGGGGACTGCCCTTGCAAGGGAGATGGGAAGGTCTCCTAAAGCTGGCACAGCTGGATCCTCAGCACCCTCTCCTGTTTTTCCACCCTTCCCCTGATATAGGTGGAGGATGGCAATTCTTGACTAGCCCATCTTAGCTCCACTCCTATAACCTATTTGTGAGGCTTATCTAATCACAAACCTTTATTATGAAGGACTTTTCACTACAGAAAGAACAATGCTCAAGTCTGCATGTAGTGACAGTGTCCCCTGCTCTCTCGAACTACATTCTGCCTCAGCTGCAGGGTAGCTGCCTCCCAGAGCAGTCACCAAGTGTAAGGTGTTGGGCAAACAGTACTCATGGAGATCTGTTCCTTCATTGCAGACTCCATGTAATGTGCTATGCCCCATGGGCAGAGGGCACTGGATCTGGGCTTTGGTGCGCTGCACCCTCTCCAGCAGGTGTTCACTTTCCAGTTGGATTTCACTGTCATGCTTGGCCTGACAAAGCTGACAGGCACCAGCATTTCTGTGGAGAACCCTGTGGATGTTTGGATAGCAAAGTATCAGAGCTGAGTTGTTTTTTTTTTAATTTGTATCCGAGGCCAAATTAGCCAAAACTAATTCCAAATCCAAGAGTCCAGAACCATAAGTGGCCCTAGTACCGGCAAACATCTTCCACCCACACCTGGGGCTTCAGATGTTTCCAAAACCTTTGGTAGGCATCCTACTTTAAGGCCCAAGACCAGAGGCTTGGGGTTCAGATGCCCCTGAGTTTTGCTTGCCCTCAGCCATAAGGCCCTTGGAGCAAGCAAGAGAGGAGACTCCCATTTCCATAAACTGGGCTTAAAGCTGCTGCACCTCAGTGGGTACTGAACTACACCAGAAGAGCCGTTCTTCTGCAATGTGATTCAGGAAAACTGCCGTCATGGACACAGATTATAATCTGGTATTTTCCCTGCCAGGTTAAGAAACCATTATGCTTGATCTGAGCCTTCAGGGACGATACATCATCTTTGTCTATAAAAGGCCAAAAGATTTGTACACTCTGAAGAGAAAGTATCAGAGCTGAGATGGTCCAGGTGGGACTTAGAGCAGAGCAGAACCCTCTGGCTTTGATAATGACAGAATCATTCAGTGACCCAAAAGTCTTCTCCTGCCCATAGCCAACTACCCTTCTGCTTACCTAGGAGTCTGATGACGTTTGGGTGGTCAAAGTCCTTCATGCAGGCTGCTTCACTGAGGAACTCTTCAATCTCTCGTTGGGAAAAGCTATCCACTGAAAACACACCAAACAAAGGAGTCCTCATTAACCAACACACTTGAATGCTCACCCTTGGGACCACTCTATGGCAATGGGGTTTTTATCAGTTTCAGCATCTGCAGGGAGGAAGCTGTAGCATGATAGAAAGGCATCCCCTGCCCAGCCCATTCCTAGCTGGTGTAACAGGGGCCCAGGCTGTCAGCTTTCTTGAAGAGGAGCTAAGACCAACTACAGTGTGGGAGAGGGTACCAGGACCCAGTTCTTCTCCTAGAGAGACATCAGACAGGGCAACAGGGCCCTAAGAAAAGCAGGGAATTGTTTGGAATGCCTGCTGGGAAGGCTGGTTTGAAGGGGACAGAGGACCAAAGGGTTACAGGAAGAGGAAAAATTTAGGAGCTCACAAGTAAGCAGGGTACTGTGTTCAGCACTTGCACAGCTGGCTGGGCGTGGGGGGGAAAGGAATGAAAACTGTCAGGATCCTGAGCATGCATTGTGTGTGAGGTTGCACCCATTAGAAGTGGCAGGGCTCTGTCTCCACTTATTTCTATCAGGAGGGAACCTGGCCTGAACCCACCAGAGGAAATGCCTGCCTGGGCTGCCATGTGGGAGCTCCGTTTCTGTACTGACTCTACTGTTGCATACTGCAGCAACACTTTCCTTCTACACTCTGTTTGTCTTTCTAATCCTGTCCCAGCAGCTGTGCAATGCAGATATGGTCCCAGTCCAGTGGTTCACCACCAGCCCCATGGAACCCACCATCCCCCCCTCCCCCTTCCCAGAGCTCGGTTAATACCTGTCTGGCAACACGCCAAAATTTGACTTGGGGAGCTGTTTGGGGAAGACACTTAATCTGTCAGGGCCTTGTGAACCACAGGATTGGAGGTGGGGAGGAAGAATGGGCAGAGAGAAGTACCTTCTTGAGGCACGCACAATAATGATTCTTGTCCACAAAGCCCATAAGAAACTCTTTATCAGGTGGCCCACTTTTACTTTGGCCAAAGATAGGCACTTTCCAAAGACAGGCCCTTTCCATTGTTCCACAGGCTTTGAAACAACTACCTGAAATTCTGCTGGGAAACAATGCCTCCAGGGCCCCAAGGACACTGATGGATGTCTGAGAATGCTGAGAATAAGAGAGGGAAATGTGGCCTACTGCAATAACACAAATAACATTCAAGCATTCTGAACAGAATGAGGTGAAGAGGGAACCATCCTTTCATTCAGTAAGATGGAAGAGCTTCATCACAGTCCAGTCCTCAAGCCAATTCCTTGCAGAAGGAGGACCTTGCAGATGGAGGACCTGGTCCCTTTGCTTCATTAAGTAGGTAGAATGTCCTGTTTCCACTGTCTTGGGCTGTGTGTTGTGGTAGCTTCCCAGAAGCATGCTGGAGTATAAGACGCTGTTCCCTAGATACATACTGATCACAATTATGGACATTGCTCTGCACATGTCCTCTATATTTCAATTTATTTCAATTACTTCTTCCAGTACTAGCCCTTGCAAAGTGTGTTCTAGAGGAATGAACACAGCTGCATTGATGCCCCCCCATTTCTTCCTTCATTAATCTCTAAAACACAACAGTGTCTGTCAGGAGAATGGGTAATGAGTTCCACTGTCTAGAAGCCTAGTGCATGGTATAAGGCAAACCAGCATTAAACAGGGGTTGGAGGCATGCTAGCACTCATGTTGGGGAAGCAACTAACAATGCATTTCGCAGCAGTCCCTGGTACTTACACTTCATGGTCTTTACGGCTACTTTCTGAGTCCTCCCATCGGGCAAGCTCAGATGCCCCTCCATCACTGACCCAAACTCTCCTGCACCAGGGACAAGAAGAAAGAATCCGTGTTTTCCTCCACATACAGCCTAGCACCCTCAGCAGAAGAAGCCAAAGGCTGCACACCTGCAGCAGGGACATGGGATCTGTGAGATGCTGCTGTTTGAGCAAGCAGCAGGTGGAACACACAGGGCTGATCTGGCTGGTGCCTGACTCACTACAGTGCCATTGCTCATGCACAAGCAGAGAGATGATGCACTGCTGTGTCTCAAGGCCAGCTTGCCACCCATTCTATCATGGGACGGAGGACATACAAGCCAAGTCAACAGCCCAAGGGAAGGAAGGCCAGGGCACATGAAAAGGCAGAACCTCTCCCAAGGCATATCAATCATAAGGCCTTGCCCAGGAGGCTTAGCTGGAGCAGATGCAGCCATCCACACTGCTTGTACTGCCTCATGAGGGACAAGCACAGCTACACCCCTCCAGTACTAAACTATTCCACTCAACTCTCCTGGGACCAACACTATCCCAAAAGGGATGGAAAATAGACAGGGCTGTGCCCCGTGCCAAGGAGCATGCTGTGGACTTGCAGGCCACTCCCAATGCAATGGGGACCTGAGGCAGGCACCCAGTTTCCTCCTTCTTCTTCAAAGGCCTGATAGGGACATGGCTTTGCCCTACAGATGGGTCCTTGCAGCTTTCATTGCTACTACAATGGCCCCAGATGCTTAAATAGAAATCCAGGCTCTACTCCACTGTATGCTGTGTGGATGCACAGGGACAGCCCTTGCCTTGCAAAGCATACAGCATCAACAGACAAGGTGTAGGAGGGGGGAATGAAGAACATGGCAGCAAACTGACCAGCCCATGGGTGCACAAATAAGTCAGCAGCAAAACTAGGAATAAACCCAAGTCCTTCACCCTCAGGCTGTGGGCTGGTCCCCAGGCACTCTCTGTCACTCCCCAGTGTGATGAGTTCTAGATGATGTAGCTGGCCACAGGCCACTGCTACAGCTCCCATCAGGTAGATTCAATTCCATGCCTAAACCCTCCCAGTCTGTCCAGGCCCTTTGGGCCTGTTCTCTGCCTCTTACCTTCTCCCAGAATCTTCCCCAGGGTGAGGGAATTTCTATCAATCACAACGTCCTGGAGCTTCTGCTGCAGTTCCTCGCTGACGCCCAGGCTGCCCACTGTAAGACAGGCCGGTGGGTGAATTGGGATGAACAGTACATGTTCTATTTGCTCTCAGACTCCCACAGACTATTCCACATCATCAACCTGTTCAGGGCTAAGTCCAGCATTGGTGCTTGAAACAGAAGCCCTCTCTACCTGGCACTCAGTAGACAGGTAAGAAGGAAGCTGCTTCCTTAATGTACTAGTCCCTGCATCATGTCCCCAGTGGCAGGTGCTGTGCAAGTTAACTGTGGCCTGGTTCCCAGGGACCACACATCTTCATCAGCTTCCATTCAAGCTTGTGATATCTGACAGTAAGTGTTGTCATATCCGTCTTGCATTGAGTACTGTGCAACCCATGCGCTCTGTGGAGCATGCTGGAGGAAGGGAGCCCTGAGAAGCTTGATGAGGACACTCAGGCAGGCAACTCAGTCAGCTTCCTGACACTCTGTCTGACAGGCCAGCAAGAGAAGGCCCCAGAAGGGACCAGAGTCTGCCCATAGTTATTAACTGGCTTGCATAAATGCATGCAGAGGTTTCTCTCCTTCACTAATGTTCCCTGGTCAGACACCACACCAAATCTTCACTTATTCCTCTGCTGTTTAAATGACAGTCAGTATAGCTTACATGTAAGTTCAACAGCTCTCCGACAGTAGGATTTCTTCGCTGTGAAGTTTACTGCCAGGTCTGAATCACTGGGGCTGAAAGCATTCCTAGCAGGAGAGAACCGTAACAGGTAACAATTTTATCTAATCAAAAAGAGTGGGGCTGCAGCTGCAAGAGGCTCTGACATTCACACTACTGAAACAACTAATAGTGAAAAGAAAACAATCATTTTCCCAAATGTATTTTATTTCCCTCCTGCTGCCTTACACCATGTCCTTGTTTACAATGTCTTGTCAAAACAGCTGCTTGATAAACTAAACTGATCTATAAGAAAGGATGTCACAGAGGGAAATTATTGGAGGGAAAAACCACCTCATCTACACTTGTTCCTCATATCCTAATCATAAAGCAAAGGCTCTATTGATAGTCATATGGTGCTATGCTCAATTACTTCCTTCAGTTTTCCCCTATAGTTTGTGCAACTATGTCTCACAGAGAAACTGAGAGCTCCTTTCTCTCATGAGAAGAGTTGCAATGCTAATTCTCAACATTAACACAGGAATATTTTACAAACAAAAAGAAATTACAGCAAAATGGTTAGTGAAACCAGACCTCCATGCAGGATGCTGGACAGTGCTGAGCAATCTGCCCGGTGTGATGCTGCTGAGACACTGAAACTTTCAGGTTCTTTTGCAGCAAGGCAGCATTAGGGAAAATAAAGAAGTGCAGATCAACAAGTGCTAATCAAGTCATACAAGGGAATGGTCATTTTCAGGAAAGCCAGCCAGATGGAGGAAGGGACCCAGAGACATCATCAGTTGCCAGACTGGGATCCAGTACAACTCCCTTGGAAATCCAGCACCTAGGACTCATTTATGCAGCTTGATAAGCTCTTTTTGGCAATGCTATGCTCCCAAATGACAAACCGCTTTATTTTGACTTTGAAAAGTGTCATGGTATGGAATGTGACCATTTTAAGGAAAGCTTCTCATACTACTCCAGAAATTCAAAGGCATGGGAATAAGGACTTAGGACTGGAAGTAGTCTTTTGGGCCACAGCTACATTTGCGGGAAGTCATAAAGCCTTACAAATAACTTAGCAAAGCTCTACATCAGGATTCCTGGTGGGCCAACCTCCTGAAGATATGCTATTACATGCACATAATGGGCTATTTAGCATTTAAACTGTAAAGAATCAAATTGTTTTCCCACTAAATCGCAGGGGTTGACCTATTTTGAAATCCTTCTTAGAAAGTCACAAGGGAGAATGAGTGTTGTTGACTTAATATTGTCCATAATGGACCTTTGTCCCCACCATTGGAAAAACACCAAAATGTGCAGCAGTACTGGCAGTGTCTTGGTTTTGAGGCGGCAAAGGATTAGAACAATGCCCTGACAGAAACACTCAAGTTTTCTAGTAGTGTTGTACAGGAGAGCCTGCACAGCATGTCCTCACTCAAGGCTCAGAACTGTGTGGACTTTGCTACATCACAGTGCTCTGGCTCAGATCAACCCCTCTGCCTCCACAAGGGTTAAAGTCCTCTCTCAGAGTATGACTATTTGCAACACAGCAAAAAAACACTGTTCCACTCCATTCGGTACTTGCCTGCTACTGTGCTAAAGTTCAGATGGTTTTTAGAGTTGAACAAAACGATTTCCCTGATCTTTTTAAAAAGTGGGCAATTGCAAAACCTTTCTTCATGGACATGTTATACATAAGGCTAGTTTGATCATATTTCCAATACTGGTGATGCACTAAAAATAGCCAGGAAAATGAACCCTGCTTGACAATTGCTCTTTGAAGATAGCTATTCTGTGCAATAATTAAAGCATTGTCACAAAGGGCTCAATAGAAAATGACCCAGGGGGTTTCACTCTTCAGCTACTAACTTGAATATGTTGCATTTACTCTCTCTTGCTACTGCCTCCCAGAAAAGAAAGCTGAAAGACTACATCCTACTCAGTTCTTCAATGCTGATTCCTTCTAGACTGCTCCGGTGTAAGGAAGAATACAGAATGAAAAGCGAAATGCAATGCTCAGAGGAAAGAAATGAAACTTGCAGTGTCACAGTAAAAATATACCCTGGCCCTTCAGGTTGCATGCAGGAAAGAGTCCCAGGTCCTTCAATGGGAATTTTGGCTGTGTAAAGACTATAGCAGTCTGAAAGGAATTCCCTGCCTTCCATGGCATTACAGCTGGGTAACTGACTGAGAGCATTTGGCCTTTATTTGTTTGTGGTCCATCTTTTTCAGTTAATCTGGGTAAATAGTAGAAAAATCTTATTTGGTACATGAGTTAAACAGCAAGTAATGGTGGGGGGTTGTGCTTAAGGGACTGGCCCTGGGAGCCTGGGAACACTAGGTCAGTAATAGGTTTTGCCCCAGACTCATTGTCTGAGTGGGCAGATCACTTGTGCCTGAAGCCTGCAAACACATGTGCATGAGTTACTATGGACTCCAACAGGCTCCTTGGTTCAGGAAGGCAGGTAGTGCACATGTGTGTGAAGGATGCCCTGATCTGTCTGGGCAAATTTTGGGAGTATTTATGTGCCTAAAGATGCAGGTGGCACCTAGCAGGATTTCAAAAGTGAGTCTGCCAAAAGCTCCTGGTATCTACCTGCAACTATCAGTCCCTAAACCTCTCTGTGCCTGGTTTCCATCTGTAAAATGCAACCACTTGACCTTACTGGAATGTTACAGAGATGAACTGGTCAGTGTTTACAAGGATCAGATACCATGGCACTGGAGACCACAAAACGAAATCATATGCAGTGAGGTGTGATGGGTGAGAAAGCACTGGAGGCCAAGAGATCAGAGGAAGGTCCCAAACAGAGCATGCATTAAATACCTTACAGCAGAGAGGCTGGGAAATGCTCTGCACAGGTGGGACTGTGCATGTTGTAGGTTAGCATGTGGCAACTGTAGCAAAGGTGACAGGTGAGGATATCTTTCACACTGGCGGCCCTCTCATCCTGCCCCAACATGAGCTGCTGTCTGAATGCCACAGCATAGTTCAGCCCAAGCTGCTCATTGTGGCATTTATACAGTTCTGAACACCCACGTTAGGTTTACTCTGACTTACCCAAATTTTGTTTCTGTCAACCTTTTCTTGATAATCACAGAGAGATATAGGATCAGCCCAACAGAAGCAAGCCCACAGAAAACGCCAAGGACTATGACAAAGGGCTCTGTATTTCCAGATGCTGGCGTCGAAGAAGGTGCCAAGGTTATTAAACCTGATAAAACATCCCAAAATAGAGACCATATAAGGGAATCAGTCTGTATTGCTTGGAGTGTAGAATGGGGCTGTTAACAACTGAAACTAAACAATACCTTCAAAATAAAAAATAAAAGATATAAAAGGAATATATAAGCCCAAAGAAAATACTGCATGTCAGTGGAATTACTTGATATGCTGGTTTACTTAAACAACTATCAAGGCCTGAGGGTGTTTAGGGGAACTGGTTCTCCTTGTGAAACTGCTTACTCCTTATAACAGGGCAGCACCTTTGGGCATTTATACACATACTTTTTTTTCCCTGCAGTGCACCAGAGATCCACCGCTTCAGAGCAGATTTGATTAGCAGACAAGCTGAGGCAAACTCCACCGTGCCACATGCAGCTGTATAAGTGGCAAAATGCACATCAGCATGCAGAAAATAGCAATGGTGCACTTTTGAACTAAAGCACCTCCAAGGTGTTTTAGTTCAAAAGTGCACCACTGCCATTTTCTCAGCACTGACTCGCATTTTGCCACTTATACAATTGCAACCATTGATCACTGAGCTCTTTTCAAAGTGCCTGGTACTGTGGTGCTTGAATATGTAAAATTGCCTTGAGTGTCAGTGCTTAGTGCTGTACATGTAATAATAGACAGGCCCTGCCTTTAGAAGCTTGCAATCCAAATATCCCAGGCGACACCCAACAGGTAAATATGATCACATCCAAGAAGGAGGAACAGGTTGATAGCAGCAACCAGCAAGTAACTGCCATGTTCTTCCCCTCCCAGGTAGGTGGGCTAAATGCTAGGGCCGGGGGGTCTATGAGAAAGGAGGTGGGGTGAGTCTGCAAACAATATCTTCATTAAAAGAAGGTTGTTAAAACTCCGAAGTTAAGCACAACAAAGTTAGGAAATACCACAATGGAAGCTGCCAGGGCAACTGTAATTCAACCCCGTTATAGATATACACGATGATGCAGTCTTTTAATTCCACAAACATGCTTGTTTTTTTCTCACCGTTCCCCGGAATGAAGACTTCCACAGGGTCACTGAAGGGCCCAACTCCTCCCTTTGTGAAGGCAGCAACTCGCACAGAACATGTGGAATTGGTAGCAACCACAGGGATGATGGCAGAGCTGGCATTCTGCTTGACTTCAGAAGAAAGATTCTGCTGAGCACAGACAAGGGAGAGAACAAGTCAAATACTGATGCTGTGGGAGCAAACAGAAGGGAAAAGTTTATTTTTCCTGGCAATGTCAAACAGTGAATGAGGACTGAAAATCTAGGACATTTTTATCTTGACATTTTCCCTTTATTAAGTACTATGGTTACTTGCCCTTACAGCCTGCAGGAATCATGACCATGTGTAATACCACAAAAAGCTATTTATAGAGAATAACAGTTCTTCAAGAACTGGATGCAAATAATAAAATAGCTGAACAGCATTTCCTCTTAACTGTTTCACTGCCCAAATCAGGTTTCAAAACGATTGATACATAGCCTCCCTCATAGGTGATGCACTGAGGGAGGACAGGGGTGGAGCACGTGCCTCCCCTAAGATTGGCCGCTGCTGAAGCCACCACCAGCTTCTGCAGGCGGGTGCCGCTCACCACCTGTCCCCCCGTCGCCGCCACCACCAGCGTTTGCAGGCAGTCTCTACTTGCCGCCAACTACAAATGGTGGCCCCCACCCATCTCAGGAGGCACCAGTTCATGGCCTCCCCAACAGGGCAACAGGTTGACCATGTCAGCAGGGAAACAAGCTGCTGGCTGGACCTGGAAAATAAATCTGAAGTGGCTGGGCAGCAGAATGCTAATAATTTGCAGGTTGGGGCAGTGAGGGCAGTTTATGAACTCTGCATGTTGTTATTTCTTGTCCTATCTCCTCCACCTCTGCTGGAGCTACTGAGCCTGCTGAAGTCACTACAGACTGCAGCCTGGAGTAACACATGCCCTGGCATACCTTCAAACCATACTCCCTCTTGATCCCTTTGGCTGGAAAGAATTTACAGTGAAAACAAGGACTGATGGTGCTGAGAGCACAAGAAGAACCACTGAGGCCTTACAGAGATGAGGATTTACAGGTGTGCTAGTTAGCATAACTGAAAGGACTAGTATACACTTTTAACATGGGCCACCCTAATGGTTAAGAGCAGCCTACCCTGCATGAACAGGACTGGTTCTGCTATGGCAAGTGTCACTGGCCGGATGCTGTTTGCCCTAGATTCTCCTGGGCAGAGGGAAGGTTCTTTCTCCTAGACTAGACAAGACCTGGGGAGGTGGGAACCCTGACAAATTTTAAGTTCCCTGCAGGAACCTCTGTGTTGGGTTTGTCACATCCCGTGTCCTTCACCTGGGCCCTGGGTGGGTGAGAAGTTTAGCTGCAGGGAACCAGTGAGGAGGTTAGTCACCTGTGGAGCCCAGCCTGTGAAAAACACATTTTGCTAAAGGTGGGAGTGGAACAGCCACATGCCTCTTTGGAGATATGCTGGGAGGGCACGCCCTCTTGGCAGGACATCTCCCCGTTGATGCCATTACTCCTCTGATGGTGAAACTACAAAAGGAGGGGGTAGCCTTCTCTATTTGGTGCCCAGCTGAGCTCTAAATGAGGAGCTAGTCAGAGCAGGTCTTCTTTGGTTTAAGCCTCTTTAAAGTGTTTCTCCAGCTGATGAAGTGAGGTTGGGCTAATGAAAGCTTATGTTATACATTTCTGATTTAGCTAGGCTATAAAATGCAAATCTACCCTGACAAACACTAGCCAGAGAAGAGACCAGAGAATACTGCCCGGTGCTTACATGTTGTACATGTAACTGTCTGTTAGGACTGGTTTTGTGTGTGCTGCTCTCTTACTCTGAGAGGTTTCTCTTTCCCTAGTGCAGAGCTATCGGGCTGTCTTGCCATTTGAATGCACTGTACAACACAGATGGATCTCTCTTGTAGATCCTCTTCTCATGTTTATTTTAGCTTTAGGTCTTATCGTTGCTGCCAAATTCAAGGCCAAAATATCCAATGGGGTATGTCAGCAAACCCTGCTGAAGTCAGGGAGCATTGTTTGGACCAGCAGACAGTGTGACGCCCACTCACTTCCCCGAGCAGAGTGGCTCTCTGGATATTAAGTCAGAATGACCTTGTGTTCTATAATTAAAGGAATAAGACACATGTTGTAACAGGTAGTTTAATAGTGATGTGTTTTTTTGTGTCGAACTCCCGATCCTTCAGTTTTTAGGGCAAATTTCTTTCCTGTCACCATCATGATGTTGGATTTGTGTAATGTTATGACAGATTATTTCTCTGGACAGAAATACAAGCAATTCCCTTTCCCACAAATTCACTGTTATTTCCTGAATTTCTTGAGTCAGCATACCAGCTGAAAAAGCAACTGGCATTACTTTACAGTAACTTACTACTCCAAAACAACTGTTCTTATAACACATCTGGCAGACTAGTGTGCAGAGAACAACTTTAGCTCAGTTGCCTGCCATTTCCTAACACAATGCAGCCAAGAGAAAGCAATAACAGAGGAAAGTTGGGGTAAAAATAGAAGGAAATCTTTCACAGCCAAATCCAATTTACCAAAAGAACTATAAAAATGGAAATAAAACATGGCCATATATTAGCCACGTTTACGTAGGTGCCAGTAAAACAACTGTGTTCTGGAGAGCACTGCTAAAGAATGATGATCTACAAGATCCCTTCCAGCCCCCAACAACTATGAAACTATGTTCGGCAAGTGAAGGAAATAACTCACTGCTTCTCTTTTCCTATGTTCTCAATTCCTTCCTGCTTTGTTTTCCTGATGCCCTCGGGCAAACAAATACCTCCAATACTGTTTTCACATTGCTGTTTATTAACCAACTGCCAAAGTCATTTAAAAACTTCAAGTTTCTGTGTGACTCTACTGTATCATCTGAGGACTTAGCTTGTATAAACAGTAAACAGATGGTGCATAGTATTATGCCAGAGGAGTGTTGACTCTAGTGTCAAATGAAAAGGGACTGGATTAGATCACCTGTCCCATCAGGTGACTTTAATGGAAAAGCTGGGGAGTCCCTTTGGACAGAGGAGGTGCCATATGGCATAAAGCTGGCTTAACTAATACTATGAAGCCCTCCTTTTGCCCCTGCACTCCAGAAAGGTGCTGGTGAAGAGAGAGGTGCAACCTTAAATCACAGTTATCCATGGTTGACTAAGTGATCCCTAGGGAGCAAATTACTGCTGGCATAATTTAGAGCCACTGCCTCAGGGTCAGGAGATGGCCTGGCTCAAGGATCTGCCCCAGTGGATTTAATTGCTAAAAATGCCACCCCAAACTGCCATGTCACAGTAAAATGTGTACACTAGCGAGCTACTCCTGCTTCTGCTGAAGTGACCTTGCTAGCCTGTGGGTAGCCAACCACTCCCACAACAGGTCTCCAAGTCCATGTGTCAGCATATTTGATTAAGTACTAAAGTAGCATTAAAAGAAGTGCTAAAAGATGGCACAATGACAGGCCATACTGCACCATGCCGGTTGCGCATGGTTATTTTTGGCTGCTACGTCGCCGTAGTAATGTACTATAACGAGGGAGCATGTCACTATAACGATGAAGCAGTGGCATCATGGTTTTTGCCACCGGATGCTATGGTGCCATAGTGCATTTCTAGTTCACCTCAGAATAAAGCAGGTCCTTCCACTCCTTTCAAGGTGCTATGTGAGTCAATGCTGCTTCCTGTGACCAGCTGCCTGTGACTGGCAGATCAAGCAATGCCACGCAGCATACATAATGTCTTTTCATAGATGTACGTTCAGGGACCAACACAATAGAGTCTTGTCCCTCACTGGGACCAGATAACAACTTATTAAACCCTTACAATCACTTTGCTTAACCAACTGCACACAAGTACCAGAAACATGCTGATGTCTGCTCTTCAGACAGCAGATCATATTGTCAACTTTAAGCTTGCAAACACCAGTATTTTGGGGTCTTCATTAATCATGAAATTGAAATTTGAGATTCAGAAAAATATATATTTAGAGTTCTTTTCCCATTGCCTTCCCTTCTTCCCTCCCCCCGCCACCCCGTGTACCACTCTCTGCCACAGCATGGACCATAGCCAGCATGTGGTATGCTAGCTAATGCTGAGAGGTGTCTGTGTGTGTGTGTCTGTCTCCAATTTCACTGGAATAGGCAGGAGTTAATCAACAGGTCATCTGGTAAACTGTTTAAGAAGTCTGAAGTAATATGGAGAGAGGCCATTGTTTTGCTAATCAGGTGATAAGGACTGTTATCAGCCCCTCCCCCACTAGGCTGGCTTGCTCGCCTGTCAGTTTGCTGTAGACAGTATGACAAAGCAGGGAAGGAGATTGAAGAGCTCTGTATCATCAGCAGATGCATGCACTGCACCCTCCCCAACCCTTGCCTCACAGTGCTAACCCAGGGCTGGGGGCTCGCAACACTCCCGCCCCTTGAGAAGCCAGCGGGGAAAGGCCTGGGACCATACAGGCAGACATCCCTAATGACAGGGTTCTGCCAGGGCCTGGCCACACCCCACTCAGCTCAGCTCCCCGCAGAAGGGAGGGGAGGGCTGCTCTAGCCCCCCCCCTTGCTCTAGCCTGAGCCACTGCAGGCATGCACCTGAATTTCCTCAGTCCAGAAAGAATGTCTGTCCAGTTTCAAACCAGTTCAGCCTAGCCAGGTTAGACTAACCTGCAAAAATTGAATCAATTCAGTCTCAGGCTTTTTGAATGTCTGTCTCTAGCCTTAGAGGTGCACCAATACATGGGTCCGATATTAGATCATCACCAATATAAAGAAAATTGATCATATCGTAAATTGGCCTGATGTGGCCGATAATTTGACCAATAAATGCCTGTGTGTGCACACAGCTGCAGTGCAGCATGTAGGCAGCAAGGAGCACAGCCCAGCAACTCTGTGAAGCTAGTAATTCTGGTGAAGGGGATGGGGGAGGGAATAGGTGTGGAGGGGGCAGGTCAAGGCCTCCATGGTGAGGGAAGAGTGGGACTGGGGCAAGCACTACCCAGCCAGGGCAAGGCAGGTGTGAGATGGGGCTGTAACTTATCAGGGGGGCACGGGGCAGGGGGAGTGGGTGGCTCCCCCTGCTGTGCGCTGCTTGTCTGGGAGCTTCTGGTTCAGCACTTGCCTGTTTGTCTGGCAGCTCCTGCCGGTGCTCC